AGAAAAGAGGAGGTGCAAGAAGTGAATTCTTCTCACTTTAACTTGTTTTCAATTAACTTTCATATTTTTTGTAAGTCTAGTGAAATCACACACTAACAGAACAGCAACAATAAAAATAACCGAATCTTAGCAAATAGGTAAGTTCAGCAAGATCAATGAGCTCAGGAAAATCAGATATTATACTTAAGTCAGTGATTACAGAGACTTCAGTTTTTCTTATAGCAACGTTAAATAAACATTCCTCACAAAGTAAACTCTCTCAATAGATTAGCAGCCTAAACAGACCCAATTTTAACTGTTAGGATGTATATTTAAACCACTTTTCAAAGTCTCTATTACTCAGATATTATGGGTGGTCACAATTTCTGTTTATAGTATTCAACTGAGATTGAATTGTGGCCTCATTTTTCCTAGATACTTGAGTCGATGAGCAAAAAACAAAGTTTCCTTATAGTATTAGAGATGAGGTCAGCAAACTTTTACTATCAAGGACCAGATAGCAAATATTTCATTTCTGTGGCCCATATGGTCTCTGTCCAACTACTTAACTGCTGTTTAACATGAAAGCAGCCATGGACAATATGTGAACAAATGGATGTGGCTACCTTCCAATAAAACTTCATAGACAATTAAATCAGAATTTCATATAGTTTTCACGTGTCACAAATATTCTTCTTTTAAAAACAATTTAAAAATGTAAAACCCAATTTTTGATGGCTGCTCAAATAGAAATAGGCATGGCGTGTGGGCCGTGATTTATTGACTCTTGGCCTGAATGGTTCTCGTGTAGTACTAGTAACACAAAATATCTAAAAAGGGGAAATTTTTTAAATGAAATCATTACATTCACAGATTCTTAGCATTTGAAATTAGCTCTGACATCTCCTTCTTCAATTTCCCTTTAGTACAACTCCACTCTCAGCATGGAACACTTTAGGAACAAGGAGTGCAGTGTCTTACAAAGTAGTTAATTCTCTGCTTACATCATTAATTGGCTGAATATTTTTCCTTTGCTACCAGAGAGGTACGAATGAGTCTAGTATATATTTTATGTGTGTGTGTGTGTGTGTGTATATGTGTATCATTCTAAAATTTGTTCTATTTCTATGTTTCACTTTTCAGGATACATGTACAACAACATTACTGTGTTTCATTATGTTTTGATGCCATATGAGACAATGAGTGATACTGAGACTATTGCCAACAAAATCATTGTCTCATTCAATGAATTATTATTAATCTTCAACTCTTTCACATCTTGTACTCATTGGTTTGATTTTTTGAACCATAGTTCAGAATGTTATACTTATTCCTATTAAAATTCATCTTTTTGGCCTCACCACAGTTTTTAGGTGGTCATAATCCTTCGGTACCTTAATAATTCAATATATTTTTTCTCTTTTTCAGCTAGAGAGGCTATTTGGATCTTCCTTTAGGTTTTGGATATTAATACTTCACAGGCCAAGCTGGGCCAAACACAGAATCATAAGGCACATTATGGGAAAATAAGTTCAAGTCAGGTGGAGTCAGTATTATAGAACTATATGATAATCCTGTTAGATACTCTCTTACTAATTTACAATGATTCATCAATCGATACACCAAAAGCAGGGTAATTTAGCAAGCTGATTATTCCACCAGACTCATATCAAACAGCAAACATTTCTCCATCTTGACCATATGGGTCTCATAAAAATCTTCATCAAAGTCTATTCTACAATTAAGATATCTAGCCCTAACATATACTTCTTCAAAGAACGTTCAAGAATCATGGCATATATTACCTTTCTGCACTATCAAAACCATCCCATCTTTCTCAAGAATTCTCAGTTATTCCCAGTGAGGAAAAAATACCTCTTAGTTTTCAAGGAAAACATATTTCCATGGATATAAAGATGTACTTACTCTCCACACCCTAATTATGGACTTTCATTCCTATTTTTCACTTTCGTTTATTCACTCTAGGACCAACTAAAATATTGTTGTTGCTCTCTCTTTGTAAAGAGTTTCGAAAATTTTTTTCAAGGGGGTGTGTGTTTGCATGTGTGTGCACAGGCATAAGTGGTTTTTTAATTTGCTTTTTCATTCTTAAAAGATGGATGACATGAGATTGGGAGAATAACAGGATGGAGCAAGCTTCTCAGGAAAAACATTTCAAAGCATGTTTCTTAACCAATAGTGTTTTTCCCTGCTTATCTTTCTGGGTGAAGAGCAATACACCTGAAAGGCAGCCACTCAATCACATGTGGGAAATTTCACTTGACAGTTTTATCACTAAAAGAGAATTAAGGGACAATTTTGACCTTAGAAACTGTGATACTTAATAAGAGTTTTTCCTAAAACAGATAGTTGTTTTTATAGTATAAATTCCTTAGGAAAAAACAATCTAAGTTTATAGAGATTTGGGGAAAAATCTATAGAGATTTCTAAAAGTCACCAATTCTAGAATTTAAAATATATTAAAATACGTCTATTTCATTTTGTTCCACTTCTTTCGCACTCTATTTTTATGCATTTCTTCTTCATCTTTTTTATCCCTCGAATCACTTCAGAAAACACAGAATTGAGTAACTGGGCTTTGAAGACTTCACATGGTCTCATCCCTTTGCATGCTGATCATGTTTCACAGCCAGAAAGATCAGCAAGCGTTTCCAACTCTTACAATGCATTTATCAATAAGGGTATGCCTGCTCTTCAGGTGTGTGGCCCAAAGCCTTTAAGATTTCATTAATAATCGACAGCTGGTGCCACCTAGTGTCTGTCCTCTCCATTCATCAGTGAAATCAAATACAGAACACTTCTTAGTCACAGATGAAGTAAGCCTAAACTACAAACTAACAAACAAAACAGCATGGTTTGGGGAGTCCAGTGGCTGATTTAAATTACACTGTCTTCATTGAAAGAAAAACTGTCTTTTAAAAGTAACTATGGTAACAGGAGTTGTGAGGCTAGCAGGAAGCGAACATTTTTCTCACAGAAGACAATTCACAAAAGGAGAATCCTACTAAAGATGCAATATAAAAGAGTTTTTGCAGACTTCAATTGTCACTTAAAGTGTTTATAAAAAGTTGAGAAATAAAATTGGCAAAAGAGGGCTGTATTTTAAACAATAGTATAAATACAGCAGATTTTTGTCAACCAACCAAAAAAGAACTCTATATCATTTGGATGCAAAATTCTCTGTCAGTCTTTGAGCTCCTCAAAGATTAACGAAGTACTGTAACAGACTATGCAAAAGCATATACAGTACTTTAAAGCTATTAAAGGGAAATAATAAGATTTCCTGAACCACATTATTAAAAATAGTTTTGCTTCTAAAACTACACATCTAGAAAACTATTTTCTTTCTTGCTCTATGTATGAATTATGAATGATATATTCAACCACAGTCGTGTACACTTCAAGGTTAAAAAGTACTCATCCAAATCCTTGACTATTTTTCAAAACATGTTAGCAATTATTTTTGGAGAATTCCAAGTAGTATAATTAACCCATCAGTTTCTAATTGATTCACTGATATTTAAATATATGTTGTTTTAACTCACTCTTTCTAAGGGGAATACGTAATTGAAAAACATGGACTAACAGGAAAAAAGTTACATAACAGCCAGTAGTGTTCCTTAACCAGACTGACTGGGATATTACAATTACTACAGAAAAGGCACAGTACATATGAGTAGCACTGTGTACATCGAAAGGTCATATTAGATGTTCATATATGATAGTCCATTAACTTGGATGATTTAGCTGCCTAGGTAGGCTATTAGGGAGACTGGGTAGAGAGCTGAAAAATTCTGTATTTTATATACAGTTAATAATAGAGCTTTTCATACTCAGGAGAATCTATTATTTAACAACTGTTTTAAACAATCACTTGTTAAATTTGTTTTATTTTCTTGTTACCCTAGTGGTGATTAAAATTATTTCAATATGTTCGGTCCAATGTACACTCACTGACAGATCCTCATGACAGCCTATGAAGACAGGATATAGAAATGATGCATAGTTTCTACAAAAAGAATAAATTGTTCCCCCTTTCCCCAAAACTTTATTTTTGGAGCCAAATACAGTCTATCCTCATACTCCATTGGTTTAAAAGTACTTATAAGTATAATCTAATGATTGTAGGGGAAAGAGCTATTACAAAACAGAAAAAGGGTTCTAAAAATTGTACGCAGGCAAGAAAGAATGTAAAACAAAACTCATTAAGGTTCCAAAATATATAAATAAATAAATGCTAAAATTTTCAATAATTTATCATTTTCTGTCATTTTTCATTAACAGCTTTCAAAGCTCTATCTGAAACAAGCTGATACAGAGAAATTAAGAGCAGTAATCAAGCGAGAAATGACAGACCAGCTGGGTCGACATCAACTTGGCAAAACGTGAATACAGTTCAATAGCTGAAACAGATGCTAGAGTTGTTGAAAAAGCCTGCAGGAGATATTGATATATTTTCTCCATATAATGCAGAATGACTGAATAAATGTCAAAAGCTAGAAATTGAGGAGGAGAAATGACTGACAGCCAAACTCTTTATAAAATAGAAACCAAGTGTAACAATTTTCAACCTATCCAAACATTCTATACATTCTCATTTCTCTCAGTGTCTGAATATGCCAATATATCAATCAGTCCTTGAAACTAAATTACATATAACTGAGCTGGGGGAGATTTCCCCATAGATTTTTTTTTTCTCCCTGTCATCATCTACCTGGAGAAACACAGATTCTTGAAAAAGACTTTATTCTAAAATCTTCTAACACTGATTTCTATCCCAGAAGTGTTTCCCTAAGGTTGGAGGCAAGCACACCCACCAAAAAATCTAACGCAGCACAAGGTAATTTTAAAATCCTTTCTGTAAAAGCAACACTGTTTGCAGAGTTTGAAGAGCTCGGCAACAAACCCCAGCTACCAACAGCTGCTTGTTCAAACATATGCTTTGTCATGGTCAGCTTCTAATTGTATTCATAATGATGTAATAGCTTTAATAATCCTACCTTCCATGCCAGCTGTTTTTTCCTGTCACTCCATCATGCCAATAAGTTGGCTGCTGTAACAAATCAAGATAGTGCAAAACAGCATCTTTCTCCTGATTCTGTCATCTTCCTGAAAGCATTCTATTACTGCCGACTGCTGGGAACCAGAAAGTCTATTTGAATTCCAACAGCTCCCCTTTCGCATGATTCAAGTTAGGTTAGGTGGGCATGCCTAACATGATTCTCTCAGTCATTTCTTATGCAGCTGCTACAACGTCGGTGTGGTAACCACTCTGACTATCTGATACGTCAGTCGAACAAAACCTACACCTCGGAGCAAACACATGAGCCAGAGCAGCGTTCTGCATTTAACGAGCATTCTCCCTGCCTAAAAAACAGTGGATCTGCAAATCTCTTTCAGTATCCACTCGCTCCTCTGTACAAATGCAAAGCCTTTGGATTAGGTTATTTTCCTAACTATACCAAGAGTAGAGTTCCTTGCCACACATAATATTATTCACACTGAAATTTTAGCTGATTTTGACTTATCTTCACAGCTCTTTAAGGGTAAAAACTCTCTCTTCTGATTGTACTTTTGAAACAAGGATATTGTATGCTCAGCTCCTCGTCTCTGCTTTATTATAACATATATAATGCACTCTCTGGAATTTACCTCTTGTGATTCTATAGCAAATTTTCAAATAACAGAATTTTTCAAGGAAATATTACTTATTTTGCACATTGGAGATATTTAATGCCTGATACTCGGTGTGTTTCTCCCAAGGGAAAGCTTTATTTATACTTTGATATTTTGACTTGAGAAGAGTACTTTCTTCACAAAGTAAGAAATTAGATTAGCTGAGTCTCTTACAGAACTTGTTTACTAATAAGTGCCATTTGAGGAAAATTCATTTTGTATCTTTAAAATACTTTTTATGAATCAGCGTTTGTTAAAAGGAACTGTAATCACCATAAATTAGTACAGTATAATTTTATCTGAAACTTCTAAGTATATATTTCTTGGGGCACGTATATTTATGGTTTGAAATTATTAAATGAGAAAGTTTAAGTGTTTTCAAGAAAAAATACTTTTCAAAAGGGGGAATTGATAAAATCTTATGTTTTCTCTTAGTCATTTATTAGATATTCAATTTAGTAGGGGATCTATTCCCCAGCAAACAAAAAGTAAACAGACAGCTGGTACAGTAGCTGCATTATGAAACTATAAGGAATAACCATTTAGCATTTGTAGGATATGTCAATATCACTATTCTGAAATATTGTTTTCCTAAGGGGTGTATGTGTGCGTGCACACATACATTTTAGCTATTCTATCTCCATTTTAATTTTCATGCAACAAATCAAATAAGTCCCATATATCAGGGCATACACTAAATCAGTAACTTATAGTTTATTATGTTTAAATTATAAACTCTGGAAATAAACCACAAAGATAAATTGAGCCCATTGGAACCCACCAAAGTTTCTTTAAAATAGTATACACATCATTCCATGTAGTAATTCTGAAAACACTGGTTTGTCAATTACTGCTGTTTTACAAAAAACTCTTTTGAGGTTAGCCTAGCTATCTTAGATATTGCAAATGGCATAAACACCAAGTGATTTTTGTTCTACCTTTGGCCTCTGCTTACTTCTCTAGCTTCAACTGTTGTTTCTCCTTCCCTTCTCACTTTGCTCCAGCCACAATGAATTTCTTTTTGTTACTCTAAATTACTGAGCTCCTTCCTGTTTCAGAGATTTTCCGTATTCTGTTTCACCTATTCATAAGCCTGCCTTCACTTTTTAATTTGTATAAAAATTGTATAAATTATACAACATGTTTTGATATGCATATACACAGTGAAATGATTACTATAGTCAATCCAATTAACATATCCATCCCCTCATTTGTTTACCTCTTTTTTGTGTTTGGTAAGAACACTTAAGATCTATTCACTTAGCAAATTTCAAACATACAATACAGTATTATTAACTATAGTCCCTTTGCTGCACATCAGATCTCTAGAGTTTATTCATCCTATATAATTAAACTTCGTACTGTTTGACCAAAATCTCTGCATTCTCCCTCTCCCTCTCCCTCTGCCCCTGGTAACCACCAATCTACTCTCTACTTCAGTGAATTGGACTTTTTTATATTCCACATCCAAGTGAGATAATGCAGTATTTTTCTTTCTGTGTCTGGCTTACTTCATTTAGTATAATGTTCTCCAGGTTCATCAACATTGCCACAAATGGCAGGATTTATTTCTTTTTTAAGGCTGAATAATATTATATGATTGTATGTATTTCATTATATTACACTTGAGAGTATATATGATATTATACATACCACGATTCCTTTATTGATCATCTGTCTATGTGCACTTAGGTTTTGTTCATATCTTGGCTATTGTGACTAATGCTGCAGTGAATATGGGAGTACAGATATCAAGGTACTGATTTTATTTCCTTTGCATATATATCCAAAAGAGGGAATACTGGATTTTATGATAGTTGTATTTATAATTTTGAGGAACCTCCATACTGTTTTTCACAATGGCAAATTACTTTTCTATCAACAATGTATAAAGGCTCCCTTTTCTTCACATCCTCAATAGCACTTATCGTCTTTTGATTAATTGCCATTCTAATAGGTATGAAGTGATATCTCATAATGATTTTATTATTATTTTTAATTCAGGATATTATGGGGGCACAAGCATGTCCTTCCCCCATACAGTGCACTCTACTTCCATTAGTTGTGGGTTTACCCCACCCCCACCTCATCCCACCTGACCGGCACCCAGTGAGTATTACTACCATGTGAGCACCTTAGTGTTGGTTAGTTAGTACCGATTTGATGGCAAGTACATGTGGTGCATGTTTTTCCATCCTTGTGATACCTCACTTTGAAGGGTGGGCTCAATCTCCATCCAGGATAATATAAGAGGTGCTAGATTGCCACTGTTTTTTGTAGTTGAGTAGTATTTCATGGTATACATATATCACATTTTATTACTCCACTCGTGTATTGATGAGCACTTGGGTTGTTTCCACATCTTTGCAATTGTGAATTGTGCTGCTATAAACATTCTAGTGCAGATGTCTTTATTATTGAATGTCTTTTTTTCCTTTGGATAGATGCCTAGTAGAGGGATGGCTGGATCAAATGGTATTTCTATTTTTAGCTCTTCGAGGTATCTCCAAATTACTTTCCACGGGGGTTGTACTAATTTGCAGTCCCACCAGCAGTGTAGGAGTGTTCCAATCTCTCCACATCCATGCCAGCATTTGTTGTTTTAGCACTTTTTGATAAGGCCCATTCTCACTGGAATTAGGTGATATCTCACTATAGTTTTGATTTGCATTTCCCTGATGATTAGGGATGTTGTAAGGATGCAACACCTTTCACTGTAGAATTAGAGAAAATTAAATATTTAGGAATATATTTAACAAAGGAGGTAAGAGACATATATAGGGAGAACTATGAAACACTGAGAAAAGAAATTGTAGAAGATGTAAACAGATGGAAATTCCTACCGTGCTCATGGATTGGTAGAATCAATATTATTAAAATGTCCATACTACCTAAAGTGATAAGCAGATTTAATGCAATCCCTATCAAAATACTACCATCATTTTTTACAGATTCAGAAAAAATAATTCTCATAATGGTTTTGATTTTCAATCCCCTGATGAATAGTGCTGTTGAGAATCTTTACATATGCCTGTTGAGTATTTGTATGTCTTCTTTGGAAAAATGTCTATTCAGAGGCTTTGCCCATTTCTTAATCAGATTATTTGGGTTTCTTTTTTTGCCTTGGGTTCTATGAGTTCCTTATATATTTTTGGATATTAGCCGCATATCATATATATGGTTTGCTAATATTTTGTCCCATTCCATAGTTGCCTCCTCATTTTGTTAATTGTTTCCTCTGCTGTTCAGAAACTTTTCAGTTTGCTATAGTCCTACTTGTTTATTTTTGCTTTTGTTGCCTGTGCTTTGATGTCCTATCTAAAATATCACTGTCAATATCAATGTTAAGAAAGTTTTTATTATGTTTTTTTTCCTAAGAGTTTTACAGTTTCAGGTCTTAAATTTAAGTCTTTAATCCATTTTTAGTTTACTTTTGTTTACAGTGTAAGATATGGGTCCAATTTTATTCTTTTGCATGTGGATATTGAGTTTCTCAAACACCATTCATTGAAGAGACACCCTTTCCCCATTGTGTATTCTTGGTGCCTTTTTCGAAAATTTGTTGACCATATGCACACGGGTTTATTTCTCCGCCCTGTATTCTGTTGTATTGGACTATACATCTGTTTTTTTTTTTT